GGGTGGGTACGGAGATCTATTTGTCTTCCAGCTGCCCCAGATGAGCCTCATATAAGTTCCTTTTCTTATTAAAACTCCCACCTGCCAATCTGGAGTGATCTTCCTCTTTCTTCAGTCTCTCCTTGCCCTGAGTGTATGGTGTTCAGATTTCACCTGGGGAACTCCCAAGGTTTCAAACCAACACACCATTGCTCAAATTCCTGGTGAATTTTGTCCTACACTGGGGAAGCAGATGGCTGGGGATAGGATGGGGTGAAGTCAACATTATGCTTTGTGGAGTCTGCTTAGTTTCCTGATACATCTTCATTTTGTAGTAGAGGTACTCAATAAATGGTTGATGAAGGGATGAATGAGTGAATGACTATGAGAGTAAGCACTCGTGTACACTCCTGGAAACCTGTTCTAATCCGTTCTGTGAGGACAACATAGACATATGTTCTCCCCCAAGACAAATTCAAAGAAGCTTCTACGTATTTTATTTGATAAAATAAATTCATTCTTTCCTCACTCTTCTGCATAGCATAGGTGCAATCATTACGGTAGCCTGAGAGAAGACACTCTTCTAGGCATGTGTAGTGGATGCTGTGGTGAGCCACACAGATCACCCTCAACTTTTTTAGATCAGAATCACTGTTCTCCCATATCTTAGTCTGTTCAGGCTGCTGTAGCAAAATATCACGACTGAGTGGCTTATAAACAACAGAAATTTATTTCTCATAGTTCTGTAGGCTGAAAGTCTGAGATCAGGGTGCCAACATGGTTAGGTGAGGGCCCTCTTTTGGGTTGTAGACTTCTAATTGTATTCTTACACGGTGGAAGTGGAGGGAATCTCCCTAGGGTCTCTTTTATAATGACACTAATCCCATTCATGAGGGTTTCACTCTCCTGACCTAATCACCTCCCAAAAGCCCCATCTCCTAACACCATGATATTGGGCATTAGAATTTAACACATGAATGTTGGGGCCACACAAACATTCAGAGTTTAGCACCCCATCTGCTGAATGTGTTGACAGATGACAGTTCTTAGCTGAATCTTACTCACCAACCTCCAACCCAGAGATTGCTCTCTGCTAAGATGAGCCGTTTTGCCCATGATCACACACCCTTCCTGTGTGCAGCCCATACCAAAGGATCAGTGTGAGGGTCCAAAGGCCTGGCCCTCGTTCTCCAATTTGGGACAACTCTGAGAGGACTTCTCAGCAGCGATTTCTTTATGGGATCATCTGAGCCTTGGTTGTGATTACATCACAGACCAACTTTTCCTGCTGCCCAATCCTACTTTCTTCGTTTCCCTACAGGTGCCAAGAGCACTCCTCAAAAAACTTCCTGTGAGGAAATTTGGTCTCAGAGTCCTTTTCCTGGGAAACATGACCTGTAACACAACATGTTTGTTAATTTAAAAATTCTTACTTCACCATAGCTAGAATGATGTCAGATCTCATCTATTTTTACATCCTCGAGCCTAGGCTAACATCATGTTACCACTTTAAGATCAGTGGGCCTAAAGTAGAAAGTGAATCCTGTGCAACTCTTTGGACAATGAAACACTAAAGTCTGGGTTCCACATAACTCTTCATAACCTATACACATAGCTTAACCACCTAATCCTTTCCTCTCTCTTACCTTCCACTCCTAGCGTCAGTCAGATAAATCACGGTCAAACCCACAGGAACAATGACCTCTGCTTACAAAATGGAAAGAAAAGAATGCACACGGGCCTGTCTTAGAAATGATTTCAAAGAGGGTAAATCTTCCTCAGATTTAGAGACGTACGATTTTAAAATTTTTCCTTTTTTAATTTCTAGACTATCTTTTCTCCAAAGGTTCAAAACTCAAAAGAAGGTTTTCACTTCCTGCTTTTTCTATTCTCTGGGTCTCTCCATGTAAAAGTACCACAATTAGGAAAGTGGATCAGACATATCCCACTTCCTGTTTTATTTTTTTCTGCTTAAAAAACCAGATACTTTTAGAAAGGTGAAATAAATAGAGCTGCTTCTCAATTCAATTGTGGAATAAAGTTTGCTCACGATGAGTCTCTTCCCTTTTGTGGTAGACTCTTTCCCTTTGTGGCTTCTCTTCCCTGAACTCTGAGGCCTCCTCAGCCCACTAACAGCCTCCTGTCCATCCCTCTTCCTTTCTGTCCCACTTTTCCTGTTCTGCTGTTCTCTGTCCATGACCCAGAATCAGTCTGATGGCTTCCATGCTGCCTGTTGTCACTACAACTGAAATCTCCCTGTTCCATAGCTCATTACCCAAGGCCAGCTTTGCTCTCTTAGGAGGCAATTTTGCAGTTGATTAGTGAGTATTGAAATGAATGAATAAGTATATGAATAAACAACTGCTCTCTCATTATATACCACTTAGCACCCATACTATCCCCACCCACCCAAGGTTTATGTGTATTAAGAGGGGCGTGATAAAGACAGCATGGCTTCCTTTGTAGCATGACCAAATTAGCTGAGTTGGAGAGAAATACCCTGATATGTAGATGTTTGAGTATTATTTTAACCATGTGCTTTTGATGCTTTGACATCAGGGGCCTTGCTGACCCTGGAGAGATTGTTCCTCCCAGGGCTAGCTAGCTCCTAGAGATAGTAAACAACTCAACTGCTAGAACGTCTTTCGTATGCAAACCAAACAATCCAGAGCCCACACGTAGCCACTTCCTTCACTGAGCTCTCACAGGACTCTCACACTCTCGGCCACTATCCACCTGATCTGATTACCCCAAGGCCAGGTTCCAGACAACTAGGAATAGCTCTTATGCCCCAAGCCTGCTGAAAGTATTCAGACAGCCAATCCTAAGCCTGTCTACACTGCCATGCTTGTTCCTTCCCATAGAAAACACAATAAAGGCTCTTGCCCACATTTTCCCCTTGTTCCCCCTGCTCCTGTGAACACTAGTGCTTCCCCACATGGCCCTGCATGGCACGCTGTGTTCCTTCCTCTTGGGAACTGTGAGTAACAAACTATCTTTTCAATGGCAATTGTCTCCTGATCTGTTGGCCTAACCATATTCAAATAATAATAAAACCTACATTTTAACAGTTATCTCAAATACTGCTCTAATCTCAAGTGTGAGGCCTCCCATATTAATTCTTCTAAGACCCTAGAGGAAGCCCCTCCTTTTCCATAAGTTCTGACAGTTGGAGAAATGACTACTACTCAGAGAAGGCACTGTAGTATTAAACAAACAAAACAAATAAGAGTAAAGATAGACTTTACTTAATATGTATTATTACTCTGATTTCTCCAAAAATCCTATAAATTACTGTATTATACCCAGTGAACTGAAGTTCAAAGATAGAAAGTGGTTCTTCCCAAGGTCACAGCCACATACAGAGAAGAGGTAAGACTCAAACACACACTCTCCTGGCATTCCTCTGACTCATGCTCTGCTCCTGCTCCTTCCTTCTATCATAATCTTCCAAATCTTCCATTATCTCTTACAGAGTTCTCTTGCATAACATCACTACTTCTTTCATACTTTAAAGAAAAAGTATGGCCGTCTTGCCAGCTAGGGCCAATGAATGAGTCCATGATGAAAAGTAGTGAAGATACATCTACATATTTCAACAATAAAATAGCCTTGGGGAAATGAATGTATTATTTTAGGAAGATATTTCCCAAAGCCAGTGAAGATCTAGAAATTACAGAAGTTCACAATACAAAGCTGGTCTTTAGTGAATGAATGAGAACTTTCAGAAATCTCTTCTTTCTGAAGAAGTTCCATTCTTTGGTCATGAACCCCAGAGCTACAAAGAACAGCATTGACTGTGAAGAAGACATGCAAAAATGTCTTGGAATTTTGAAGAACCATTAACTGAAAAGAAATACTTAACTTCAATACCATAAAGATCAAAATAAGCAAACAAAAGACAACAGATAACAAAATTGCTATTGAATGTCATCCAGCAGCAAAATACACCATAAAGATGTTAAGACCTATGTGGTCAGTGTTGACCCTAGTCGTTGGGGGGAACACTTCAAGTAAAATAATTGAAAACTTAACCCAACATTGAATACAACATAGCTCATAGGAAATCATCCTTTAGCATTTACCAAATTCCTACAATAGCTTGGGATCCCACTATTTTAAGCAAGAAAGAAGGAAACTTGAGAAAGAGGGAAGAGAGAAAAACAATAAAGTGAATCAAATGACTTGAAAACAAAAAAAAATTGGGTAAAGAGCTGGATTGTAAGTATGGAGAAAAGAAGACTGGATAAGGGGGCTTAAGAGCAACCAGCAAGAGCTGAAGGCGGCATTTGGAGATGCTGATTGGCAGCTGTTGAGAATTTCCATGGTGTGTAGGTAAGAAGAAACGAGCTTATGTGGCTAGATGACCTCAGTTGGATATCAGAAGAATTTCCTGACTGTGAATGTCAAGAGTTCTGGTTTATAGGATCAAAGGGAGACTTCTGGGATATGCCTATCCTAGGAATATTTTTCAGCCTCAAGCAAGAGAGTGGGTGGTTTTCTGCAGCCCTGTGGATGGGCTGGATGGCCTTCTCAGAATCCCTCAGTCTCATGTTGCTGAGAGGCGTGCCGTACACAGCTGCTTTCACAGTGTCCTTGCCAGCTGCTGACTCCCAGCTCGGGGGCTGTGGAGTTTTCCCCACAGAAAGGAATAACTAAGCCTTTCATTCTCTGTTCCTCTCTTGGACCAGCCCTTAGGTATACACTGTGGTTTTTCAGCTCTTCAGCACTTAGGCCCTTTCCTTCTGAGCCAGGGGCCTCCTGGGAACAATGTAGCATCTGTGTGTTGACAGTAACAGCCTGTGGGCCAGAGACACTCAGCCAAACTCTCCCTCCTTCCCACATGGGCTGCCCACCTCACCTGCAATATAATCCATGGCTAGTCAGCCCCAACCTGCCCCCTCGCCAAGTCCCCCCTTCTCCTATCCGTTCCCCAACCTTTTGCTTAATTTGGTTCCTGGCCCCTTTGCCACATTTACACCAGTCCTCATGCAACAAGGTCTCTACCCACCTCCCATCCCACCCACAGAGTGAACAATAACACATTAATGGCTCACGGCCTGACACTAAACAGTGGGCATCGAAAGGTGAGGTGCATGCTGCTTAGTCGGGCAACTGGGTGTTTGGAAAAGGTTGGGCCTGCAAAGAGATGCCAGTCTTTTCCTATAACATTGTTGCTTTTTATTTATTATGTGGTTGTTGATTTACAGGGGGAGTTAGAAATGCTAAATAAACACAGAGTTTTTAAATGGCCTGTTTCTGCTGAGTTCGGAAACTTGGAATTATCATTTAACTTCTGGCAAAAAGAAAATTCCAGAAAGGTGTTTAAAATCATCCTTTTGTTCTTGGTCCTGAGTGAGAGAGGAACATGTGCTTACGAGGAAAGTAGAGTTTCCACCCTCAGGGAATCCTAAAAGAGCAGAAGCCATGCTGTAAGATGTGCAGTGTAGAAATTCAATATTAAATGATGAATCAGAACAATCTCCCTCTAGGAAAGTCTCTCCTTCATAGTGGTTCGCAGTATTTCTCTTAAATCCTCCATCCAGTGATTTTATAGTGGTGCTATAGTGCGTGGGCCTGTGCAGTATGAATGCATAAGAGAAAACTGGATGGATAGTGCGTGAGTATGGGAAGTTTAAAAGAAAAGAGAAGAGATCAAATGGGATTTTAAGGAGCAAAATGCAGCTGAGTGCGTGTGTGTCTGCGGGCCTGAGGATCCTGTTGTTTAGTGTCTCTGAGGTTTGAGTTGCCCCTTTTTATTCAGCGTAAAGTTGATACTTGGTAATACGCGGAAGTGTCAGGGAGAAATCAGAGTTCCACCTTTGGAGTTTTTTCTTCTGATTCAGGATTTTGTTTCTGAAAAACACCATGACACTGAAATTTAGACTTGGAATCCACTCTTGTTTTTGAGCTCTGAGATTAGCAAACTGAGCTATTTAACCACTCCCGGAAGTCGTAAATCCATCTTCAATTTTTATTTCATGAACTCTTTATAGGCAAGTTGATTTGTTTCCCATTGATACTGTAAACAGAATGTTGAGAAGCAAAATTCAACTCCTTTGAATACGCAAGACCTTTCCAAAAGTGCTTTTGTAGTTCTTTTCCCATAACTGTAATCTAACCAGCATCCTGACTCTGACCACCATATCCTCATATATTTTTGCTCTTAATCAAATCCAGTAGAATTCTTACTCAACAGGAAATAAAAGGGACATAAAGAGGAAGAAAGCTCAATTGGCTTTACCTGTAGTCTCACACTTACCAACCGTTTCCCTTTTAGGAATCCGTCACAAAAGTTTTGCACACGCTCTACTGCAACTTCCATAATGGGCAGCGTGTCCCACTCATCATCCACAGTGTGGTAAATTGCCAGCGCGGGCAGCTGAGACACGTTAAGTTTGAAAAATGCTATCACCCTCTCATTTTTCTTCACACCACTGTCCACCAGAATAAAAAGTATCTGTATTTGGAGAAATTTGAAACAGAAAGATCTATCTGAGGTCCTGGGCAGAAGACATAGCTTGTAATTATTGCAGTTTATACTGATTGAATTTGTGGTCTGTGCTGCACAATTTAAATCTCAGTTTAGAATGAACTTCTCCTTATTTAGCATTGCTTTGGTATTTTATCCCTTTGATCAGGTTTGTTTAATTTTAAGAAATTAGAATTGGAAAAGACTTAAGCGACTAGCTAAGGGAGAAAGTATAGCTTAATGGTTGAAGTGGAGAATTAGTCTTGAATTTTGTCTCTCGTACTTTCCAGCTGTGTGACTTTGGGCACATTACTCAGCCCCTCTGAGACTCAGTGTTATCAGAAAAATAGGCTCCTGTTGGGGGAGATTAAATGAGAGGATGCATGCAATACATCTAGTACAGTTTTCAGCACATAGCGAGTGCTTGTTGAATGATAACTATTTTATATTTTTAAATCAAATTTTTTACCCAAAGTAGAAATCTTCTTTATGATATTCTTGTTAGAGGATCATCTACATTCAGGATCACTGAAAACTTTGAGTGTTAGGGAAACAACCACTAGAAAGTCAATTTATTTATTACCAGACAGCTCTCATCATTGAGGAGATCTCTAGCTCAATGCAGCAGCCTTGAAGTGGTTGAAGTGTTACTATTTCAGTGATATTGAGCAGAACTTCACAAAGTAGGGAAGGGAAAGAAATATTTATTGGACATCCAATAGGCACCAGGTACGTGATTGGTGTTTTATGTCAGAAATAAGCCCTGAGGTCTAAAACCTTAATAGATGATGACAAGGAATAAACAAATGGTGACTAATAGGTGATTTTTATTTTTCAGTATCTTTGGGTCTCTATTTTCTCTCCACCTGTTAATGCACAAAAAAAGAAATAGACTTACCACTAAGGGAAGATTTCACTATAATAATAATACTTTATTAATACAACATATGGGCTTTTACTAATACAAAATACAACATCTTTAATATTAAATCAGAGTAATGTGATTTATTATGCCCCAGTTATCACTTTGTTACCTCTTAGCCATACTTGTTGTTTTTCTTACTTTTCCTTATTCCTGGCTCCATCTTCCTTTTCCTAGTGTCCTGGGGCTGAGTATTCAATAGGATGTCTCCCCTTACAGACTTACCTTCCCCTGGAAGAGCTTAGCTGCCTCCTGGTATCTGTGCAAGCTTTCTTCATACTCTAGGGAGGCCTTGTTCATCATCAGTAGAAGATGAATCTCAATCATGCTATTAAACAGGCCAACCGCAGTCTGGCAAGTAGAAATGTATTATGGTAGAATGAAAGAGAGAGGGAGGAAAAACCCCATTAGTGGCAACCCAGTGAATACGTGGACTGAAACAGTAATGAGAGTTGTCCGTTCTTAACACAAACGATAACTAGCCTACAAGATGGCTCTCAATAAATCTCATGCTCTGGTTTTCATGCAATTGTGTAGATTTCCTCTCCACAGTGAATAGGGCTGAGCTGAGTGGCCAATGGGATACTGCAGAAATGACAGAGCATGACTTCCAAGATCAAAACATAAAAGACACCATGGCTTCTGCCTCGCTCTCTCTTACATCACTCACTCTGGGAAAAGCCAGCTTCAATGTTGGGCACTCAAGCAGCCCTAGGGAGAAATTCACATGGCAAGGAACTAAGCCTCCTACTAAAAGCAAGCATCAACTTGCCAGCCATGTGAATGAGCCATCTTGGAAGGAGATCCTCCAGCCCCAGTCAAACTTTCAGATGACTGCAGCCCTGACCAATGACTGCAAGCTCACAAGAGACCCAAGATCAGAAGCACATAACCTACCCACTCCCAAATTGTTGACCCACAGAAACTGGATGAAATAATCAATGTTTATGGTTTTAAATTGCTAAGCTTTTATGTAATCTGTTAGGCATCAATAGACAACTAATATAACATGTAACACATTAGTTACTTATTTCAATCCCTCTTTGTGTTGCAAGTGCAGTTGTATACTCTTGAAATGTGGCCTTTGGCCGCATATTAGTAGTGCATACCTATTAAGTGCTTGCTGTGTACCAGGCATTATTTTGAGGTCTTTATATGTAAGAATTAATTTAATCCTCAAAATCTCAGCTTTTTTTTTTTTTTTGGAGGAAGATTAGCCCTGAGACAACATCCACTGCCAATCCTTCTACTTTTGCTGAGAAAGACTGGCCCTGAGCTAACATCTGTGCCTGTTCTCCTTTATTTTATATGTGGGACACATGCCACAGCATGGCTTCATACGCAGTGTGTGGGTCTGTACCGTGGATCAAAACCAGGGAACCCCAGGTCACCAAAGTGAAGCATGTGAACTTAACCACTATGCCACTGGGTGGCCCCAAAGTCCCAGCTTTTTAAATGAGGAAATTAAGGCACAGATAATTAAGCAACTCCCCAAAGTCACAAAGTGGTGGACTTGGAATTACACCAAGCACTTTGGATCTAGAGTCTGTGCTCTTAACCAGCGGGGTGTACCGCCTCGTACACAGCTGATTGCAAAATCCCGTCTAAACCAATCCAACCCCAAGCATAGTTGAACCAGTCTGCCCCCCGTCAGGAATAAGGTAAGCTCTTCTGGAGACCAGAAGCATTGGCCCTTTTTTGCTGATCAGAGATGGTGATTCCCTATGAAGTTGTCAATGACGGAGGGAAGTGGGACAGTCATAAGCCCGAGTGAGGAGAGGAGAAAGAGGGTGAAACTATGGCACTGGCTCCCTTCATTTCACTTTCCTAAATAGTGCTGCCAGTGTCTCTATTTTAAACAAATTCCATTCCTTTTTACCTCTCCCTTCTGAATACAGACAGCATTGCTGTAAAACTAGTATGTGCCCAGGAAGACAGAGTACGGTGGATTAACGAACCAGAGGGCAGAGTCCTAGGATGGTGGGAAGAGGGGCAACTAGGTAGGATCCTTCTGGAAGCTACACACTGCTCTGTAGAGATTCTCCAGCTCTATTGGCTGGAGGCAAGGAGAGCCCAGTGAGTTCTTTCCCAAAACTGTCTCCCTGGAGTTGAAAACCAGCTCTTAGATTTTAAATTTGGAAGATTGGATGGTAAATAATTGTCTCTTGTTTTACTAGATCTTGTGACTTAAATTTAGAGCATGCATCTACCCTCCTAGAGCAGAGATGAAGGATAACTCTTGAGAAGAATTGAGAAATAAAAGCTAAGGAGTCAAAAGGTACCGTTGTCTTAGCAGAAAGGATTGAGCATAGCAGAGGTGATTAGTTTAATCCTAACAGACACAGCCTGAATTTTCACCTTGAAGCCACATATTGCATGGGCATTAAAAGTGCACAGCAGGTCAAGTACACATCTGTGAGTTTCTGCCTAATTGCTACCAGTACAAACCTCTGCACCAGCAACAGATGAGAAATAACTATAGAGGTGTGGGCAGGTCTTCAAATGAGAAAAATACTACTTTTGGCAAATGAAAAAGTCAAAATAAAAGTTGAACTTGCTTCCCTAAAGAAATTCTTACCTAATCTCTTCTTGAAGTGATTTGCCTTCACTACTAATGTGAGACTTAAAAATATATGTCATTGTTCTGTAAGATGAGACATGGACCAGGCATAAGAACTCAGGAAGGCCAGTCTTTACTCCTTACTCCTGCATTAGCCTGAAGAATTCCAGGATGCTGAAGCCACAAACCCAAGGACCATAAGATCATCTTTTCTGGTCCCACATGCACACCTGGCAGCCCTATAGAGAAAAATGCCTTTTTGGTTCTTGCTGCCAACACCCCCGGCGTGCATGTGTTTGGAATCTTAGCAAAAGTGGAAATGGAGTCACTGCTCCACAGAGACAAACATGATGTGAGAGGTGGACAGGAATTTAGTCAACAGGAAAAGGCGTGTTTTCTACTGAAGGCTGTGTGGGGCAATGGAAAAACCACAGGACTGTCAGACAGAGCATTCATGAAAAAAGCAGGGACCAGTGGATACAGATGTCTCTGAAGCTCAAATTACTAGTCATATGGCCTTGAGGAAGTTATTTCACTTTTCTGACCTTCCATTTCCTTTCCTGTAAAATGGAAGTAGACAACATGAGCTAACGCATCATCAGGTAAATTTTCTGCCTGAAATGATGCTTTTCTACATACTCATTGTGTGATCTTGAATAAGTCACTTGGACCTTGAATTTTCTCTTCTGTAAAACGGGCATAATAATTTTCTCTCTTCTACCTCAAAAAAGTTAGTGGGAGGATTAAATGAGAAAATGACGTGAAAGAGCTTTGTAAGTTCTAAAAATCATGACATGCATGTAAAGTCCTGTCATTAGAGAATGCACAGCATTTCTGAGCTGATGTAGATCACTGGAAATTAATACTCCGTCACTCTGATCTATGTCATGGAAAATAAAAGGCAGGAACTATGGTAACTCTATAAGTTGTAGGATGTTAGAAGGCCAGAAGATTATCAGGACAGGTGGACCAACACCTTCCTCCAGGTTGCATGCAGCATGCAACATCAAAGGAAGACAAGCCTAAAAGGGAGCTGAGGCAGCATGAGAGTCTAGGCACATGCAGGTGGTGCCAGACCAGGATCCATTAGATACTAGTCCGTAAGGGGGTAGATGCAGAAAATGGGAATAAGTATTTAAAACATATAGAAATTTTACGTTACATAGAAATCCAAATATGTGAACAGTGGGTTTTATTTTTCAAAATTTCATTTGTCTGTTAATTGACTTTTATTCTATTTTACAAAAGTATTGGTCACCAACGCTTTATGTAAAAAATGGACCTTTGGCGTGGATTGCAATCTTATTTGAGAAGCATGGTCTAGAGAGTTGCTTGGATCAGAGTTGCCTTCACGGAACACTCTCAGGCTGTAACACTCAGAAGTTTTTGAGTCAGTCACCTTAACTATGCATTCTGGCTCTTTCTTACTAGTCGTGTGATACGTCATTTAACTTTTCTGATTCTGTTTCTTTGTTGGGTAGGGCCAAGTCTATCAATGTTAAAGGGTTGTAGGAAGGATGGCAACATAAACAACTCGGTGTTCAGTTAAAGGTGGTTACTGTTATTATTGGTCAAAGGACTCGAACTCCTGGACAGAAGGATCTCTGCTATGAAAAGTACCCTCCCTGGCGTGGGGACTGAAGGAGCTGGAGACAGGGACTATTTTTTACCACATCGTTGTACTCTGTCACCAAGTGGAGATTGTTGGTCTCAATGAAAAGGCTTAATTTGGTGGCATCAATGTTTTCGATGTCTTCGTTCTTTAAATCCAGTTGCTTGTTATCCACCTGGGTAACAAAAAGGATAAAATTATTACTGTTCTGTCTTAATTCATTCATTGATAAATGTTTCTGGACCATTTACCACGTCAGGCACTATCTAAAGCTCCAAAGATGGAAAACTACGTAGGAAATATTCCCTGCCTTTGAGGAACACACTGTCCTGAGGGATACAGAGAAGTGGACAGAAATGTCCCATGTGTGGCGAATGTCATCACAGGGGAGTCACAGTCCTGTATGTCCCATAAGGACGAGCAGAAAAGCTTCCAGGAAGAGGTAGCTCCGGAAAAATGGCTAAGATTTGGTGAGATGAATGAGGATGGGGAGGGAATTTTAAGTAAGGAACGGTATTCCCAAAAGGCCAAAAGATGTGAGATGCCATGTTCTGGAAGCTGCAGTTAGTTCACTGAGACTATAGCAGTAGATGTCAAGTGCAGCGAGGAAAGAGACAGGTCAGTGGGGTAGCCAGGGTAAGAAGACTAAACTCTAATCTGAAGGCAAGGGAAGCCATTTCCATGGTCAGTTTTATGTTTTATTTGTGAAGCCTTTTAATGTGAAATAAAATGTACATATAGAGAAAAGCACAAAACGGAAAATGTAAAACAGTATATTATTACACAGCAAACAACTGAGGAGCTACCACTTGAGTAAAGAAAGAGAATTTTGCCAGAAAACTTGAAGCCCTCTGTGCTCCCTTCTAATCAATAATCCATCCATTTGTTCCAAAAGTAACTATTATCCTGACTTTTATGATAACCATTTTCATCCTTTCCTTTATAGCTTTACCACTTAAAGATGCATCTCTTAATGCTATAATTTAATCTTTTTAAAAAACATTATGTAAATGGAAAAGAACTATGTTTTTTGTATGTGTACCTCATTTCTTTCGCTTAACATTTTGTTTGTGTCACGTATGTTATTGCATGTAGCTGGAGTTTGCTCATTTTCCTTGCTGTATAATATTCCATTGTAGAAATGTGCAAAATTTATTTATTCATTTTCCTGTTGATGAATATTTAGGTTGTTTCCAGTTTCCAGTTATTAAAATAATGCTGCAATGAACACTCTTGTTCACGTCTCTTGGTATAAATGTGCCTCTTATCTGTTGAGCATATATCTAGGATTGGGATTTTTGATTATAGAGTATGTGTATTTTCCACTAGCAGAAAATACCAAGCTATTTTCCAAAATGGATAATTGCTTACACTTGCACCTGAATTGTTTCAAAAAGTTCTATTGCTCCACATTTTTGTCAGCACTTGGTATTATCAGCCTTTCTGAATTTACTCGTTTTTGTGAACATGTGGTAGTATCTCATTGGGGTTTTAATTGCATTTCCTTGATTAACCACTTGTATATCCTCTTACAGGAAGCTTCTGTTCAAGTCGCTTATTCTGTTGAGTCGTCTGTCTTTTTCTTGCTGATTTGCAGATGTTTTTGTATATTCTGGTACAGGCCCTTTGTTAGCTCTATATTGCATATCTTCTCTCTCACTGGGGCCTTCCCTTTTAATGGTCACTGCTCATGAACAGAAGGTAATTTCAATGTAGTTGAGGTTTTCAATCTTTCTTTATAGTTAGTGTGTGTTTTTGTTTTGTTTTAAAAAAAATCTTTGACTATATCAAGGTCATGAAGATATTCTTTTACGTTATCCCCTAGAAACATCATTTTGACTTTCACGAATATACCTAAAACCCACCTAAAACTTGTTTTTCTTACTTCTTACATGGATGCTTAGATCCTTGATCTTTAGCATTACTCTTTTCTAAAATGTACATTAAAATCTACACATTTCCCTCTTAGAAATGTGTAGGCTATAAATGCATCCCCAAATTTTATATGTAGATTTTATTATCATTCAGTTTAAAACGTCTTCTAATTTCTGTTATTTCTTCTCTAACCTATTAGTTATTTAGAAGTGTATTTCTTAATTGTAAAATGTAAGATTTTCTGGTTATATTCTTATTACTGATTTCTTGCTTAATTTCTACATTTTATTTACATCACATGTCAACTTCCATATACAGTAGTCCCCTTTATCCATGGCTGATATATTCCCAGACCCATGGTGGATAGTACAAAACCCTATATAGCCTATGTTTTTTACCATACATACATACATATGATAAAGTTTAACTTATAAACTAGGCACAGTGAGAGATTAACAACAATAAATAGTAATAAAATAGAACAATTATAACATTATACTGTAACAAAAGTTACTGTAGGTCTTAGCAACCTCAGCATAAAGATTTTTTTTCTTTCCTTATTAAGTTGAGAACTTTCACTTTTTCACTTAAAGGAAGTACTTTACAGCTTCTCTTTGGCACGTTGGAATTGCCAGCATCTCTACTTTGGGGCCATTATTAAGTAAAATAAGGGTTACTTGAACTCAAGCACTGCAATATCACAACAGTTGATCTGATAACCCAGCCAGCTACTAAGTGACTAACTGGCAGGGAGCGTGCACAGTGTGGATACGCTGGACAAAGGGATGATTTATGGCCCTGGCAGGAGGGAGCTGGATGACAGGAGATTTCATCATGTTACTCAGAATGGCAAGCAATTTAAAACTTATGAATTATTTATTTCCAGTATTTTCCATTTAATATTTTCGGACTGTGGTTGACCAAGGGTAACTGAAACTACAGAAAGCAAAACTACTGATTAGAGGGGGCTAATGTATATTACATGTGTCCTTAAAATTATGTATATTCTACAATATTTGAATACAGGATTCTGTACATGCCAATCAGGTCACTTCATTAATTTTATAGTTCAAATTGTCTATATTCTTAATGATTTTTAAAAACCAGTTTATTCTAGCGAGAGAGAAATATTAAAATCTCGCATCATGATTGTGGATTTAACCAGTTTCTCTTACAATTCTGTCAGTTTCTGCGTATATATTCTCTGGCCATGTTTTAGGTAAATGCAAATTTAAAACCATTAAATCTTCTGGACAAATTGAAATTTTTATCTTTATAAAATATCATTCTTAACCTCTCTGGATGCTTACTGCCTAAAATTCTACTTTGTTTACTGTTAATATGCTTCTATTAGTTTTTTTTTTGGCAGTGTTTGCTTAGTATATCTCTATCCTTTTACTTGTAACCTATCTTTATGTTTTACATGAGTCCCTATGTTTTAAAATGATGTATTCCTTGTAAAAAGCGTGTAGTTGTATTTTTTCATCCAGTCAGATTGTCTTTCAATTGGATTACTTTTATATAATGTATTTGCTAGTGTATGTAATTAAATACGTATTTTCCTTTGGTTCTGCCTGTTCCAAATCCCATTTTCATTCACTTCTGGCCTACTTTGAATTGAAAGAGCACTTTATTTTATTCCTTCTTTCCCTTTATTGGTTTAGAACTTACATAGGCTGTAATTATTCTCTTAGGGATTACCAGCAGGCATGACACAGCATGCATTCTTTACTTATCAGAATCTGATATTAATTGGCAGTTTTATCCTTCTTGGACATTGCAGATACTAGAATATACTAATACAGGTTACTTCCTTCCAATTGCATCCCCTGGCTCCACACTCAAGACTTACAGGCGATTATTGTCCTGTGTCTTAATTCTAAATCTCATAAGACATTATTATTATTGTTATATAGTCAACACACATTTACATTTATGCACATGTTTACATTTAAGGTTCTCTTCATTTCTTCCTGCATTTTTGAGCTTCTATCTGGGCTGTTTTTCCCTCTGCCTAGAGAACACCTTTTAGTATTTCCTTTAGTATGAATTAGATCTGTTGGGTGACATAGACTCTCAGTTTGGCTGTTTAAAATATCTTTGTTTCACCTTTATTTTTGAAGGCTAGTTTTGCTGGGGGCAGCATTCTAAGTTGACAGTTATTTTCTTCCAGTTTTTGAAAGATATAATTCTTTACATTCGGCCTTTCACTCTTTCTATTTAGAAGTCAACTGTGAATCTTTAATATTACCCCTTTGAGATTACTTTGAGGGTAATCTTTTTTCTCTGATTTAAGATATTTCCCTTTTACTTTGGGTTTTAGCTGTTATGCTATGGCATGGTGGAGGATAGATTATATATGCTACATAGATACATAATTACATATGGATGCGGGTGTGTGTGTGTATATATGCATGTGTGTATGTGAGTATGTGTATTTAGATATTCATATGGGAGCATCCTAATCCAATTTCAAGGACTGAGGTGATTTGAATCTGTGCTGCAGCCCTTGGGAGGACTGATCTACTGACCTAGTTAGGGTTCACTCTTATCTTTAGGGTCCTAAGTGGGGCAAAGAGTGTTTAGCAGATCTGCCTCCTACCTCCTCTTGTGGGCCCTGGACTCCAGCGTTTACTTTTCTGGCTCTTTGAGGGTCTCAAAAATGCTAATAAACCTCTCAGCCTCTTGACTGCTTCTTCTAGAACTGGCTAGGCCTCCCAGAGGAAAAGCAGGCCCAATACAGGGTTCATGTTTTTCGGTTTCCATCTTCTTTTAAATCTTAGTCTAGACATATTCCCCTCTCTTGCTAGTTCTCCCATGCCTTATTCTTATCTTTTTTTTTTTTTTGCCCAGCCTTTAAAAAATCATCTGTGATGGAAGGTATTGTCTAGTTACGCAGTCCGTTATCCCAGATTTGCATTTTAGAACAACTTTTCCACCATATTTAGATATATTAAAAGATAGAATTTCATACTGCCAATCATCGTTCCCAGGACTTCCCACTCCCCTCCTCCAATCTACCTGTGCCCATAAAGACACAAGATAAAGCTCCCATCACCCATAGCAATTATGCCTGCAGATAAAATTATCAGGGCTAGGTCCTGAACAACTTTCTCTGTTTCCTAAAACAATTTGAATCATTTTTGAGATCTTTGGGCCACCCACCCTTGGACATCTCCTTAACCCTTTCCCCTCACAACTGCTATCTCGTATAGATCCTCCCCAATCAGATCTTGCCTTGGATTAGTGCCATCCTTTTACCTCCAAGATACTTTCTCTCAGTCTGCCCAGCAAAGTCAG